GGGGGTGGTGATAGCAATAGAAATATGGTTCAAGATGTAAAATTAGCGAGAAAATGGCCGCCAGAATTTGGTGACTCCCATAGCTTGATAGTCCTTGGGAAGTGAAAATGTACATTTTTTGTGCCTTTAATCAACGTTTTTCAATAAGAATGAATATAGAAATGTCATTTTCAATGGAAATAAAAGGTGTTGGGCCAAAAACAAACAATCGGAAGAAAATTGCCAAACCGGCGGAAAATCCTTTATGTCACTATTTCAACAAGCGCCTGATTTCAACACGGTGTCTCACAAATAATAAACTATTATATTTATCAGTTCCTCACACCACAAAGAGGTTAACCTTTGTCCCGCGAGTTGACCCAGAAACGGGTCTTAATGGAGCGTAAGCTATTCATATTTCATTATTAATCAATACGAAATATTGCATCGTTGCCTCAACATTACAAAATTCCAGCTGCTCAGTACCTAGTTTTGAGAAGTTTGACGTGAAGAATTTTTAGCTTCACAAAAAGTCAGGCTTTTTGGTTGCAAGTTTTTGAATATCTTGATAACGACTCCGAATCATCTTACGATTTTGATAGAGCATGTTATAGACATTCGACTTCTGATCCCATGGTCTTAATAACTCAAAACAGAGAAAACATATCAGAGAGAACTTTGTAATTCTGAGGTACCGGTATGGCCCACGCTCATTTTTAGACGTCAAATGGCTGAAGCACTTCATTCGCTCTTCCAGATTGACGTTGTTCTCCTCAGCCTTATTAATGATTGACGTATCCACCGACTTTCACGAGGTATAAATATCTTAACCCTAATACGGATGGGATCGGGTCGGGTCGGGTCGATCGACATACTCGTCGTGAGTCGGGCAATCGGTTTGCGCCACGATAGCCGCTTTGCTCCCTCATCTGGCTAGTTAACCGACCCGACCCGACCCGATCGTGCCTATGGGCACCCGGTTTAATGGGCTGAGTTTGCCTGAAGCAAAATATACATTTTTGTATTGTCTTGACCAATAATTAATTGTATACATGTATTTGCCTTTATAAAATTAATTGTGATTAATGAAGTGCATAATAAAAATATGTACCAACTGCAATGTAAACAAAAAGTGAAAATAATTGTAATGATTGTGTTATATTTCTTTAAAATACATATTTTTAAAATTATAATATTATAATAAAGAATGAATGTAAATTTACATTTTAAACGCATGTATCCCTTGCCAATGTTATTTCTACGGCAGTACTACTCGGATTGGGAATCAATTTGTATTATTCAAACATCACTGTAAAGTTGTCATTGTTTGATGTATATTTTATACCGAGGATTTTTGGAATAATAAACCAATGGGAGTTTTGTAATTCAGTTTTGTTGGGGGTTGTGTGTGTGTGTGTGTGTGTGTGTGTGTGTGTGTGTGTGTTTGTGTGTGTTTGTGTATGTGTGTGTGTGCGTTATCCCCATATCTCTCTTTCTCTTTTTTTTTCTCGCGTCG